GTATATAACCTAAAGATAGTTGGAGGATATTTTCATGATAACAGCAACATGTAGTCAGGAAAAACATTTTAGTCATTTAAAAAAAAAAAAAAAAATTCAATTTCTTTTATCTGTGAAATATTATTATTATTATCATCATAGTAATAATATTATTATCATCATCGTCATAATAATAATATTATTATCATCCTCATCATCATAATAATAATATTATTATCATCATCATAATAATATCATCATCATCATCATCATCATAATATCATCATCATAATATCATCATCATCATCATAATATCATCATCATCATCATCATCATTTTTATAAACAATACTTTAAAAATGTTCTAACTACAAATTGTGATTCCAATCCCTTAAAATAAGATTAATCTCTCCCTGTTGTTTAATTTTATTGTTTTCTGGTTCTAGACTATTTTTTCTGGTATTTTCATAATTTTATTTTCCAAGACGGTTTCTGTCTTCATGGAAGTTTTGGTTGAAATGTTTTTTCATTATGAACATAAGAGAACTTTTTTTTTTTTTTTAATGAAGTTCTAAGTTTTGTAAAGTCTAAGTTGAAATGAAATCAATTCTATATTGTGCATTTCTAGGCCCCCCCTTTGGGCATGATGTAGCATCCTTCAAACATATCTTCAAATGAAATTCAAAATCTCTTGAATATACAAATCATAACTGTGTCACATGAATAAGACTAAATATGTCAGAAAAATGTTTGAGAGAAAAGCGTGCATCTGAAATTTGTTCTTTATTTAAATATTTTATATATTTGCTCCCATCAGATGTCGTGACAAAGGACTTGTCACTGGTATATCATGTATACCAAGAATGCTGTCAGTGATAGGATTCTTACCTGTTACTGATATATAATTAAATACTAAATGGTTTTTATGTTACTTGGTGAGGGGATGAGCATCATCTTTTTTTTGTCTTAAAGATCCTGATGATATCCTAGACTGTGGAACTAACCAACAAAATTTAAATTGGAAGACATTTTTAAAATTATTGCCAAAATTGACCTGATAGACGAAATTTAATATTTTGCTTCCAATGACAAAATGTCAAAGAAAAAGAAAAAAAAATGACAAAAGAAAAATATGGTGTAAGAACAGAAAATTGTATTTTTCCGTTTACTTTCCTGTTAATACATGGCTTGAAATTGTCTACCATATTCCATATACTTGTGTTGGAAAAGAAAAACTGCTTCCAAATTGGTTCTAATATTTTATATACATGTAAAATCTGATACCTACACGCTACGAGGGTATATCAATAATGTATGTTTTTTTCTCTGACACTGATTTGAAAAAAATGTTAAATGAAAATGTGGCTTTTTGTACGGTGTAATTAAAGGCACTCCGGTTTTGATTTTGACTGATTATGGATTTTAGGTCCTTTTTGCTTTCTGAACACGAAAAGAAATGTTAGTTTCCTGACACTGAAGATAATGTGCCGCCAAAACAGCAGGTTGCTATCAGACCTTGCGTTTTATTACTGAACTAAACCAAATCAGTTTCTACTAATGTTGGTCAATTTTAGATATTTTGCTCAGAACTTTGTCAAAATGAGCGGAAAGAAAACCAAGAGTCTGACAGCATCTGTGGAATAATCATAATCTCAAAGACATTTTTAACAAATTACATTGAAAAGAAAAATAATTGTAAAAAACCAAAACACTATGCAACAAATGGGGTAATTATTAATGGAAGTATTATTGTAAAATACAGTGCACTAAGAGGGACCATACCGTCTTGGGATTTTTCTTGTGGATCACCTTTTCATTTTGATACCGAGTATAGCCTAGTATTTATCAAATAAGTAAAACTAATAAATTGTTAAGTTGTTCCTCACGTTTTACTTTGATACACTCTCAATAAAAGAGGATTCGATAAGGGGTTACTGTCATCAATTATTGATGGGATGCAATTAGAAAAATCCTGTTTCATTATGTGTAATAGAAAAGGAACGAAAGAAATTATTTACCTACCTGTCTCTCTCTTTCTCTCATTAGCCAAACAGCTGTCTTGATTCAATTGTACAGTACAAGTGACTGAGTTAGTAAAATTGTATAGGTTCAGAGTTATTTTCTGTATATGGAGTATTATTACTGGAACCTTGATTCGGTGTAATGTTCCTCTTAATGTGACCTTGTACCAAACCAAACTAAAGGAAACTTAGTATCAGTTTGGTATTTCTACATATGATGTTCAAAATTTGGATGACTTTTTATTGCGTTGTTTAATGGGAGGTTAGAATGACATATTTCTTAAATTGTATTATATATATATATATATATATATATATATATAAAAAAAAAGAGTAGAGAGAGAATCTAGATTCTTGGAGGTAGAGCAATATTCGCCTACATGACTTGAGGGTGGCACAAAGCCAGTTTAACGTGATTTAAAATAGAACAATTTTGAAAATACTCGTGGCATGTAAAAAAACAAACCTTGCAATTTTTAGATGCAATAGTAATATGGTGTCTACGGAATAGTTATTAGTATCCAGGCGAGTAAGGACGGTACAAAGTGAATAAATAATCCTTAAGACTTTCCTAATCTATGAAAGATTAAATATTGCTAATCAATTATTTTGATTAGTGTATATCGCGTTACTTGTGTATAAGTCGATCTAATTTTTTTTCGGTATTTCTTTGGTAATGGAACCCTGGAAGAAATTGATTTATAACGTGAAACGATTATAAGTTGAACTTTGGTTTTGAATGAAACTGATCGCCATATTTTGTGATACACAAAAAAACATAAAAAGACAACACTTTCTACCCCCCTCCCGAAATCGACGGCTGCTGAGTCCTCAATATTAAAGGCTACCATTAGCTCCCGTTTTTTTTAATTATGCCAATGAAACGTGGGAAATTAAAGAACGAGAAATTTTTAGTGCTAACTGGTTATCATATGTAAATGTTGTTCCAAGAATTTACAGTCCCGCACATATTTTAACTTGGAAAAACTTATCTATGGATAACTTCCCCCTTTCAATCTTACCGGAACATTTAGTCGTTAAACTCGACTTACACAGAGGTGTATACAATACATGATTGTTTCTTGCTTATCAAATAGTTATGCATTATTGGCATTGGAGAAGGGGTCATATCTAGCGATAAAATAATATTCACCTTTTTTTTTTTTTTAAAACGAGACAATAGAAATAAGCAAAAATGACCACGTCTAGAAGCAAAAAAAAAAAATGTACCTATTTATTTGCTCTGTTTGAAATTTGTGATCGCGTCCGGGTAAAAGCAAGGACTTCGAATGCTGATCTTCAAAGCAGGCAAATAGAACTTTCCTTTTTGAAATATTGGTTTAACTTAAATCTTGCAAACGTCAGTTATATTATCCTGACCTTAGTTAATTTAAAGTGAATAAATAACGATGAATAATATATATATATATATTACTCTGCTTCACTGTATCTGTAGATTTCAGGATACGTGTCACAAAATTCAGATGAAAAACAAAGCTGACATTGTTTTTGAGGAAACTGGAAACTTGCAATCATAAGTTAAAAATCATATAACTAATCTCGTTATGCTAAAAAGAAAGTGAAGTTATAAAATCTTTTAAAACCGTCATCCTTTCTTGCTGAGAAGAAAACTGGAATAATAAAGAACAATAAAGTTCTTTATGGCTGGTTATAGAGGACACAGCCTTCATTCGAAGAATCGAAATGTTTGTGAAAAAAAAAAGCTATATATTGGTTCCTTCTTTTGGTCTGTTTTTGCATTTGTCTAAAAATACCTAATGTTTCATGTTCTCACATTGTCTAGCAAAATTTAAGCATTTTTAACAGTCGTTAAAGTTAGAACACTCATCTGTAAAATAAGTCTTTTACAACTGAATACAAAAAACTTAGTTTTAAAAATACTTCTTTGTACGTTATGTCATTCTATACTTTTGTTTATTGTAAATGTAATGACGCCAAAAAACTTGTTTATGCATGTATATATATATATATTTCATTGAAAACGACTGACAAGACATTGATTAAGCTTTTTATTATTATTTTTTTCATGCATTCATACAAGTGATTTATTTTCTGGACATAATGTGTAAGAATTGTTTTCAGATCATTTGGACAGTTTTTACACACACTATGTCCAGAAATCACTGGAACGAGTACATGAAAAAAAAAAAAAATTGCATGCCTTTTCAGGGGTCTTCAATGAAAGCTATATATATATATATATATATATATATATATATATATATATATATATATATATATATATATATGTGTCTGTAATATGATATATCAATTTCTATATATCAGAACAAAGTGAGGCAAATGAATGACAAAGTGGAACAAAATTGTATGTAATCGTTTTGCTCTCTAGAAGGACTTCGTTGGACTAAAGTTCGATGAATCCTTCTAGACTTTAAAAAGTTACAGACTTTTCCCCACTTTATATTGTAAAAAATATTTTCATCTAAATGTCGAAGTCCATACTTGTATATATTTTTCAAAATTGTAAATAACAACTGAGCTTATGACATTCTTATCATTATATTAAATAGTTATTCTCTCAATATAATGTGTGCATCTTATATAATAGTTTTTGTACATTTTTCACCTGTCCATTTGCATATATATATATATATATATATATATATATATATATATAATTTGTGGTTGTAAATATTCATTGTATTTTTCATTCCTGTTTGATCATCATGATTAATTCAAATAAATTATTCTCTTTAACAAATGTTGTTGAGATTTGTTTTTCATGTTTTATAGGAAATATGAAGACAAGGAAAACCTGTACTTCAATGTTGTCGCTCTTCATTTAATATACTTTCATGCACAGTAGATCAAGAGTGACTTAAGGCAAAAACATTGTTTCTTTCTTTTCTTGTCTTTTTCTTTCTCTCTCCATCTCTGGAATTCCTGTTCATCACGGTCTTTTTAATCCCATTCTTTCTTCCAATTTCTTTTTTTTATTTCCATTTTTTTCCATCTCTAGTGATACAAAGAAACCCTGTTCATTTCTATTCTTTCTTTCTTTCTTGTCTTTTTCTTTCTCTCTCTCCATCTCTAGTCATACGTGGAATCCTTATGAATTTCCATCCCTTTTTTCTTTTTTCTACCTCACTCTGTTTTTCTTTTTCTTTCCGATTTTCTCTCCTGTCTTTCCATCTTCTATAAATCAAAGGCCCTCTTCTTGGTCTCTTTTTTTTCTTTCTATTTTGTCTTTACACTCTGTCACGATCTCTTTTTTCTCATTTCACCCAATTTTCTTTTTCGTTTGCTGAAACACTCTTTTTTTTTCTTTCATCACTTCCTTCTCCATTTCCTTTTTTTCTTCTTTATTAATCGCACATTGCTTCTTTCCTTCATAAGGGATTTGAAGAATGTTTTAATTTTTTTATCTCTATCTACAAAATGGCTGAAAGATGAAAAATTCACCTTCTCAACGGCAAATCACATATCAATTAGAAATAATGCTCCAATACCAACTGACTTTGAACTCGATCTGGCCGAATAGGTCTCATATCGTCTCTTTTTTTTTAACATAGAATTAAATGAAAGCTTTGAATACCATTTGCAACCCTTTTTTAGCACCCCGCTACCACCTTTTTTATCAACATCAAATTTTCGTACAAAAAGTGGATCACAGAGCTTATTCAGCTTAATGTATATTTTCAGAAAATCTCAACTTCTAATTGGGCATTAATATTTAATAGCATCGACCTAGTTCTTGACCTGACCAAAAAGATAATTCCGCCAAACTCTATCAAGCTTCTGTGAGCCTATCACGTGACCAAAGTTAGCAATAAAATATGAAACGTCTTTCATCTTCGACAGTGCGCCGATCGGAATCCTTTGAACTCATCACACAGTTCCAGGCTTTACGTTAAAGTTCCTTAACATGATTCCAGCCTGAGAGAACGCTCATTCACACAGCAATATTTTATGACGAACAATCAACTCAAGTTTTCTACATTCAACTTAATACACGAATCTTTTTCATACGTTTTCAAGATCAACGTTAATTATTGCAATTAACATAAACGCAACTTGTTAAGAACCACTTATTTCAACTATATTTTTACAGTACAATTTTCAGCTATTTATTTATATATATCTGTATATTTATTGGTTTGTTTTCTTCTATTCTTCCCCCCCCCAAAAAAAAAACAAAACAAAAAAACAGCCTATCTTGGCCGCATGTAGGAAGATCAATACAACCATGCATACCTAATCTATAACTTCGAATAGCCCAAGTGAAGTCTTGATTGGTTGTTGTCTACTGGGGCAACTTATATAATTCACGTCCCAAAGCTAGTGGCAAATTTTGTTCTAGGTGCGAGCCGAATACTCATCATATTTCGGTCGGGTCGCCCATCGAAGAAGTCTGTTGTTTATTTAGACCTGAAACTTCTAGTGACATGGAAGTAACAACACTGACGACGCATCTAGATTCAGCACTTAAAGGTGTATTTTAATAATTTTTACAATACAATTTTTCAGATCATGAACGAAAAAAAACCTTGTGAAGGTGATACGAAAACTGCTGACAAAGAGAAGAATTTACTATATGAAAAAGATACACCCACCTAATAGATAAACGAAAACCTATACTTTAGTTTATCCTTCGAGTGTCTCTGGGAACTTTAATGATCTTTTGAAATGTCTTTTGGTGTTCTTTCTGCTTGGCTACCATGTATTTCACTGGAGCCTTTGACGATATTTTTGAAATTTCTTGGTTTTCTGTGAACTTCCTTTTCATGGTCGGGGGCGGCGCGGTCGGCTTAAAGGTTCTCTTTGTTCTTCTTTTTCGTCGGCCGACTTTTTAAGAATGCCGAAACATTTCTGCCCTTTGCTCTGTAGGCGACGTTCATACACGAACGTTACAAACCTGCCTGCCGGCCTACTTCGCTTCTGACTTCCAAATCCCTTTTTCTGCTTCTCTGCAGCCAGCCGGCCTCATCCGAGTCTCTTCTGATGTTACCCACTGACCTATGTTCTTATATATTTTGAAACGAGGTTTAAACGGGCCTCAAATTTAAATTTACGAGGGCGAAAGTCACCCTTTTCTTTGGACAAAATAAAAAACAACAAACAAAAAAACAAACAAAAAAAACAAACAAAAAACAAAACAAAACAACAACCCCCCCCCAAAAAAAAAAAAAACAAAAAGAAAACGAGGGGAATATTTTTTTTTAATTTGAAAAAATGAATCCCCAACAGACCACCATGACAGTTATTTCTGGGGGTCTTTTTAGAGACAATTCTGAAAAAAAAAACCAAAAAATAACTTTTACACACTGGCTTTCCTTTAATACACTTCTCATAAAAGTAAATGTTTTTTTAAAACCAACTTCTCATAAAAGTAAATGTATAAGGCAAACCTATGCTATTTAATACTTATTTATTTACACCTTTTAATTAATTATTATTTTTGATTGTTATTCTAACTGTTGTAATCTAGGAAAAGGTTAGTGAATAAGAATACCGAAAACGAAGGTTGGAAGTGGAACGATAATATTTATAACAGGAACAGCATACAAGAGTTGCCAGCGGCGTGTAGTAAGTAATCAACTGCTAGTTGTGAGCTAGAAGTGGATCAAGGTGAATCGCAAGTAGATCAAGATGAAACCCTACTTAATACAAATGACAATATTCACTAACCGCCCCACGTGGTCAGATGTGGCACAAGGCCGAATTTATTGTGGGGTATCCAAGCCCGTATGCTCGGCCAAAAATTCCCCGTAGACCCCGTAAAAAACGGTGTCGGGTGTCTTCCTAGACGAGGCTATGTCGAAGGGCAGAATCTCTTTACCGGGGATTCTCTCTGTCAGGAGGCAGAAAGTTTGACCAGCATACTTGGAAGTGAATCTAAATGACTACCACATACAGTATATTGTACTTAATTTATACGGATTGGTACATACCCATTATAGTCCATAGGTACGGTATAACACTAACTAATAAAAGATTTTTATAATGTAACTAAGCAATGTATTATAGAAACAGGAACAATTCGTTAGAAATAAAGAGAGATGAGCTGCGATGTAATATTAATGCTCCTATATGCCAGTGAATGCTGGACAATTTCTTCAGAGATGAAGATGAGACTTGAGGCAAAAGAAATGTGGTTCTACAAAAGGATGCTGAGAATATCATGGCTGGAACATGTGAGCAATGAGGAAGTTTTAAGCAGAATGAAAACAAAAAGGACACTTATACTTAGCTTCACAAAAAGACATAAATTGGAACAATCGACTTTTTTTTTCATCTTGTCTCTATCCAGCTGATAATTCTAGTTTTAGTTGCTAATTTGCTTGCATTGCGTTGTCTGTAGCAATCCTTGTTAACCTTTACTCACTCATTCGGATGTTACTTCTTTTTTCTTCTGTGGCCGATTATTATAATTTGGTGGTATCCACGAGCAGCAAATACGTGGGGGAAGGGAAAATCTTTGGACCGACCCACTTTACAAATTTTGACCGAAAGACCACACTAGATTTTTTAAAATTACTTCTTGGTCGGACCGAGAATTTTTTTTTAACAACACTCGCAGAACTATACTAAGTTGCGAAGTGTACCTGTTGTCACTAGTTCCAGTCTAATCTTTGATGATGTTATCAAAACCGAAGATATCGTATTGGTAAAATCTCGAGGAGAGATTGTGAGTCTTGTCGAAACGAGAGTGTTTATTTTATTCATGTCACTGGGTGACTTGTTGTCACTTGTTTTTGATGAGTAGCGATGCTCTTTGATTCAGGCATATACCTCTTTCAGCGTATTGTGAACGATGATGATAATGATGATGATGACGATGATTATATGATCATAACGATGATTTGCACTTTTTCCAAACAGTGGACACTTATACATAACATCCGAAAGAGACAGTTGACATTTCTAGGGCACGTAATGAGGAAAAAGGGCTTGGGAAATTTGATACGCACAGGACATATTGAAGGCAAGAAGGACAGAGGAAAACTTATTTAGGATTTAGGAGAGAACAAACAAAACAAAAATTATTAAGCGCTACAAAGGACAAGAAATTGTGAAGAGCCATGATCGCCAACGTCTTGGGGGGACAGAAGAAGAAGAAGGATGAGGAGAATGAGAAGAAGAAGAAGAAGGATGAGGAGAAGAAGAAGAATGAAGAGAAGAAAAAGAAGAAGTTGTTTATACATTTTAGAACACAGAAGCAATTCTTCTTAGATTGAAAAGAGGTGGTTGCACACTTCTCAAATGCTCCCGATCAGACGCCTTGTTGCCAGATGGAGTTTATCGTCATACCCATGACGGGTTGACCCAGAGATATGTTTCAAAGTAAATTATTAAATTTAATAATTCACTGGAATTTGTAAAAGTAATGCTTGCTTTTGTACTTAAAGCATAATAAAATAACGTTTATTTCAGGCACCTCCACTTTTTCGCTAACAAAACAGCATAGCATGATGAAAAAAGGCCTCGAACTTAATATAAAAAAAGTTTTATTGTCAAAATGTTTTTGTTATTAAGAGGAAGGACCAAAGTATTTTTAATTATTTTTAAATTTTTTTTCTAATACGTTCGAAATTTGGGTTAAAAATCTTGTATTTTTATGTGTCAACAGTGTAACAGACATGGACATTTTTGCGCTTGTTTTCCGGTAAAATACCACATTAATTTGGAGAGTATTGCAAAAAATCAAATAATTTTCGAATTTTAATGAAACTTGCAGGACTTATTCACAAATGAATGAATTTATTTTTGAAATTATTATTTTTAGAAAATATTGGTAAAAATATTTTTTTTTACATCTGTTAACCCCCACTTACTTAGTTTCATTAAATATCCTAGAATTTAATATCGTCAACGAAATGTTTTTATTAGTTAAAAGCAGGACTCCTTGGAGAATGTAAATCATCAATTTTTTTTCAAACTCTTACCAAGTTTCCTAAAATCTGCTCCAAATCTTAAAATAAAAACTGCAATAAAACTATCTAATTATTTAATTAGATAAGCTTTTAATTGTTTTTATAAATAATATATATTAAAGACATTATAGCCTGAAGAAAAAAATTCTATGAATAATGAATTTTTACACGAATTATTTGCATTTTTCTTTTTTAATTATAATAATTTATAAAGTTTTAAAAATTCTTCCAAAGGTCATCAAAGTTAAAAGATCTCGTGTTTCAACGGTTGTCCTCCTTAGAGATAAACACTTTTCATTTCACTTCTGAGGGCAGTTAAAGAGAAGAACGGCCCGTTTCAGTGCCACAAAATATTCCGAAAAGAGTCTTATAAT